CTATCAGCTGATGTACCTGAGGGGTCTCTATCAGCTGATGTACCTGAGGAGTCGCTATCAGCTGATGTACCTGAGGAGTTACTACCAGCTGACTGAGCTGCTCGGTTCTGTTCCTCTCTGATGAAGGTCTCAGCCATCCTGAACATATCAGAGGTGTAGTGTTCTCCTCCATTAGCTCCAACCATATCATCTATCTTATTCAGCAGCTCTCTGACCTGCAACCTCTGTTCTTTTTGAGTGTTGTTGAACACAGAATACCTCCCAGCACACATGGACACCAGATCAGACACCCAGCAGTTGGACTGGATCAGCTGATCCATGGAGCGACCTCCTAGTACATCTCCATGAGTGAAGAGCACCATGAGGTACTTAGAGGCTTCTTCTCCAAACAGTATGGGCAGCAGCTCAAACAGTCTCTTGTCTTCTTCAGAGACTCTACCTATTCTGACTACAATAACAAAGGCATGAGGTCCTGGACTGGCCTCCACTAATATCTTCATGAGCTCCTCGTAGAGCTGCTGAGGAGTCAGAACTTCATCAGTGAATCCTGGAGTGTCGACCACGAGGAGCAGCCGACTGTCCACTAAGGCTGATTCAGAGACACACTCTGTAGTGACTGAGTCAAAGTCACATGCTGATTTAAACTTCTCAGATCCCAGGATGGTGTTTCCTGATGCACTCTTCCCGACTCCAGGTCGACCAAACAGCACGATCCTCCTCTGAACAGGCTCCTGGAGACCAGCTGGAAGACAGAGAACATTAGAACATGTTATATAACAGACTGTGGTACTGAGATGTCAGCACACAGCAATTTAATGAATGAATGTGTTGAGGAGCTCATCACAGTGTACCTGGTGGGTCCAGTAGTCGGTGGGTCCTGAGGTACCCGGTCTTCAGCAGCAGATCTTGGACTTGTTCCTGACTTCCATCCTCATTGTTGAAGAGGTGAAACGCTGCTGAAAACATCTTCACTACATCTTCCAGTTTACCATCTTTGTCTGCAAAGATAAAATCTCTCAATGACCTGCCCTGGAGTTTATCTCCATGAGTGAAGAGCAGGTAAGTCTTCTTTGATCCCTGATCTCCGAGGACCCTCTTAGCTGTATCTATAGCCTTCTGATCCTCCTGAGTGAACCTCCCAATGCTGAGAACCACCAGGAACAGACATGGTCTGTTGGACTGCAGGAGTTTCTGACAGTAGGTCTTAATGTTCTTTGTAGACTCCTTGCTGTCTAAGATTCCTGGAGTGTCGACCACTGAGATCTGCTTCTCAAACACTCGTCCTGTTTCTACACTAATCTGTTTTGTCACTGATGTGAAACACATCTTGGACTCAAACGTTTTTCGTCCTAAAATGGTGTTTCCTGCAGCACTTTTACCGACTCCTGACTTCCCCAGGAGGACGATGGTGAGATCTGGATCCATGGCTGGGCAGCACAGACCTGCTGGAGACAGGAGTCACAATCAGTCATCTGACAAAAGCTTCAGTTATGCTGGAAGTTCACAGCACTGATCAGAGGGATACGTTCTTCATCTGCCCATGATCCTGGCCTGTTCAGTCTCACCACGTTCACATCACCTGAATTACAGCTTCAGTGTTAACCAGTGCTGCAGCATCTCAACGTGATGCAAATGATATTGATGCTCCTAATGCGTCCACCAGGGGGCAGCGTCAGCTGTATGAGGCAGGACGTCTGTGGTTTTGTTCAGCAGTATGTGACTGCAGTACCGAACACTGGACACTGTCCTTCTAGAGTCCTTCTAGAGTCCTTCACCACCAGACAGCCTCACCTGCCTCCATGGATGACCATTAAAGGCACAACTTCAGGATTAAAGGCTGATTCCACCTGAAATACTGCTGATGATTTAAAGGTTTATTTAGGGAGTAGTCCACTCAGAGTACTGCTCCATGTTCATGTACTTATAGATTCAAAGGTTATTCCTGACAAAACACTGGCTGCAGTTTCTGAGCTTTGATCCACCAAACAGTGTTTCCTACCAAGCTCCAGGTTCAAAGGTTTATTCAGGATAAAATATGACTTTGTGTCCAAACACTGAAGATTTAAAGGTTTGTTTCACTCCAACAGCATCCTCTAAGAACCAAGTTATGCTTTTAAATGTTCATACCAAAGTACATTTGGACAAACTAAGTGCTATCTGGTAAAGTAATCATGGAGGCGTCTGCTGTGGCCCCTGTGGTCTGTAGATCCCAAACAGGACGGTCTGAAAGGTTGGAAAGAGGCCAAACACACGACGCTCTGGAGGCAGATATGTAGGCTTTGGTACAGTCTGTGATTCATACAGTAATGATGAGCTACAGGCTGGATCTACTGACTGGATCACTGCTGGTTTTGTTGGAACTCTACAATGACGATAAGGAACTCTGTCCTCCTTCTTCCTCCACTGACTCACTTTCGTGAACAACACCTTCTTTTAGCTCTCTGACGCCATGACAGAGTTCAACCCAGCATCAAGCTTTCACTCAAACTGAAGGAAAAATCTAAATATAGACATCAGTAATAAAAGCTGAATAAATGTTCAGTCCAACAGGCTTCCTTCAGAACAGTTTCAAGCCAGAGTTGATGATAAACTTCTGAACCAGAACCACAGACAGAACATACTCCCTGAAGCACTGACAGCAAAACACTGAGAACCTAAACAGAGACGAATTCAGAGTCGACTGATTGAACAATGATCAGAGATGAAGCAGAAAACAGGAAAGTCTGTAGGAATGAGACAGAGAGCTGCTGAAACCTTCAACTCACCTGCTCTCAGTCGCTCAGTCAGCGGTCAGGACTCTTCCTCTGTGTCTGTTGTTGATCTTCTACCTGCAGACTCGCTTCAGCTGCAATGAAACTGCGTAGAAGAGACCTTCAAAATAAGAGCATCAGATGGAGCACTGGGCGTCATTGTAGTTCTTTTTTATTTTTGTAACTCAATTTTTATTGATTATAAATGTAGAAGAACAATGAACAACAGTGTCAGTGGGGTACTTATCTTTTTGAAATGATTATTTTTGGCCTTTTTGCCTTTATTATATAGGACAGTGAAGAGAGACACAGGAAAGTGGGGGAGAACAATGGGGGAAGGACCTGCAGCAAAGGGCCATGAGCGAGATTCAAACCAATGGCCGCTGCATCGGGGACTGTAGCCCTTGTACATGGGTCACCAGCTCAACCAGGTGAACTATAGCGGCAGCCCCAGTGGGGTACATATCTTCTGTAAGAATAATGTGATGAAACTGACTTTTTTCAGTCTCCAGTGACATCTCTGTAGTGAGACAGGTAAACTGTCTATTTATCTCATTTGGTATTGAACTCAGTTTGTTTTGAACTCAAATTATATGTGGGTCTTTACATGTTGAAAATCTCCTGTACGGTGTTCATCCAGTTCCTCATAGCAGGAGGGTCTTCTCTACACCATTTCCTGGTGATTCATTTCTTGGCTGCAGCAAGCAGTATTTTAATCAGATACCTGTCCTCACATTGTACATTTCCTCTTGACAGGTTGCATAGATATAATATCTCACATGACATTGGCAATTTGTAACCCAGTATCTTTTCCATGTAGTCCATACATTGTTCCAGTAATTCTGCACTTTAGTAGTACATTCCCAAAAAACATGAGCATGATGTGCATTCTGCTCCCCACACCATCTCCAGCATGTTTGCTGTACTGATGTGAATTTGTTTTTAGTTTTAGGAGTAATAAAGAACCGAACTATATTTTTCCAGAAAAATTCTTTTCGCATCCTGGAGCTAGTGGTGATTCACTGAACATCACATATATTCAACCAGTGCTCATCACTTAGTGGTATTTTACACTTGTTTACCCATCTGTCTCATATATACAGGGTTGAGGTTCCTCTGTTCTTTGTTAAACCCTGATATAATACTGACATCACTCTCCCAGTTTTGTTTTATATGCATTACACAATGTTACAGTCACTTCATTCAGGTCCTGGGGGAGTTTTGGTTTAATTTCTTTCTCATAGAAATCTCTAACTTGAAAATACTTAAATTGGTCAGAATCCTCTCAGCCACATTCTTTTTTCAGATTTTGAAAACTTAATTTTAACCTTGTGAATAATTGTGCATAATGCTGTTATACCCTTAGTCAAGATTTGGATTTCCCTCTCCAAATTGTATTTCCCAATAACAATAAACTATGTTTCCAGAGTGAATTTGGTGATTGGATCAAGCATACTCTCATATTACTTATACATATCGTGTTTGTTACCATGCTTTGGATAGGATATACCTCCGTTTTTTAATTCAATTTCTTCCCATTTAGCAATGTATTCAGAATCACACCAGTACACCAACGCTCGAATCTGAGCTGAGATTTGGTAAGGCTAGTCCTCCTTTATCTTTGGGAATCTGTAGAGTAGTGAACCTCCTCTTGGGTTTTTACCTGCTGCACTCTTGGCTGCCCGGTTCTGTTCCTCTCTGATGAAGGTCTCAGCCATCCTGAACATATCAGAGGTGTAGTGTTCTCCTCCATTAGCTTCAACCATATCATCTATCTTATTCAGCAGCTCTCTGACCTGCAACCTCTGTTCTTTTCGAGTGTGTCAAGAACTCACGCTCAGAACAGGTGGACACAAATGCTCAACACAGATGGGTTCAGACAGAAAGGCAGGTTTATTACCAGTCACGGCTCGGTACACAGGAGGTCAGTCAGACAGGCAGAGGCATCCAAAACGAGAGGCGAAAGGCAAGGTCAAAAACAGAAATGAGGTTGTGCACAAACAGACTATGACTTGAGTATGGCTATGAAGAAACACTGGGACGACGGCGGTGAAGTACAACGAAGTGGCAACAAGACTGTGAGACACACAGGGTGACATACACGAGGTAGTGAGGGGAGATGGGAAACAGGTGAGGGAAACCATCAGGGAGCAGGTGTGATGAGACGGGGGCAGGGCGTGCCACAAGTAAATCTAGGACAGAGACAAGAGGTTAGTGCTTTCAAAATGAAACCCATATAACCCATATCAGGTCTGAAACCTTTAATAATTTTATGATTTGTTCATCAATATTAACTTATTAGCTTTCACTGTGTGATGCAGCACATGAAACCTACAGCTTCCTCCTTATTGGCTCCACGGTAACCAGACAGCTGATGTGATTCAGGAGAACTGTCCATGTTGGGTTTAAGGTTTTGTTATATATATGACCAGGGGCCACTAGAGAGTCATCGGTCCCGTCTATGTGTGTGGACAGTCTGTAGCTCCAGTGCTGAGGTCTANCAGGTAACCAGTCTATCACAGGGCTACACTTAGAGACAGACAACCAAGCACACTCACATTCACACCTACGGACAATTTACAATCACCAATTAACCTCACTATTGAAACATTTTTATTTCTCTCTTACCAGTAGATCGACTACAATGAAAGATTTAGAAATATCAAGCATAAAGAGGTGTCTAACAAAGCAAGTCTGAACTTAAAGGAAACTTTATTTTAACAAACAACAGAATACACAACATTGAAAAAACACATAAAGAAGCTTTAAGCATATTGAACATAAAAAACAGTCAAATAATGTTTACAAAAATTCTAAAAAGAATTTATTTATTTATTTATTTATTTATTTTTACTAGGACCAAAGGCCACAAATATATGCACGTCAACTCTGATGTGCCCATCCTGGTTACCTTCTTCTCTGGAGGTGATCTGAGACCAGCCTTCAGGGTTTCCAGGGACAGCATCAATCTCCTCGTCCAGCTGCTGCCCCGGGAAAAAGCCCATGGATAGAGTCATGAGCTTGAGGTGCTGGTTACGGTCTACTGGCTTGCCTGTGGAGCCTCCTACCACGTGACGGCTGACATATTTTCAGTGCCGCGGGCAACAGTCTGCCGGACCATCCACAGGGTAGTGGATGAGATGATGACCATCCTCCACAGGGTGATTCACTTTCCCAGACAGGAGGAGATGGAGGACATCGGGGCCGGCTTTGCTCACCTGGCTGGTCACCAGGCATTCCACTGTGCTGCTGGGGCCAGTGATGGGCACCACATCAGAATTTTCCCTCCTGCAGAGCCTCAGAAAGTCTGATACATTAACTTTCCCCCTCAGTAATACTGCAGGGCAATTGTAATGCCAAAGGGAGGTTTATTGATGTCTACGTTGGCAACCCAGGATCTGTGCATGATGCACCAATGTACCAGCAGGCAGTGTATCCGCCAGCTGGGTACTTTGTTGGCCGATGGAGGATACCCATGTCTGCAGCATCCGGTTGCCATCTTGACGCCGTACCGCCAACCTGTCCCAAGTAAGAATGCTTTACCACATTAATCACATACATGCACACTAAGGAGACACTAGGGATTCTTACTAGGGTGACCTCAAAATGCATCATATATTGTCTATGTGAATTTTAGTTAACAGGCCAAGTCGAAGCCCGGTTTCATAAGCACCATGCCAAAGGGAGGAACATCATAGAGCATACCTTCAGGATTCTGAAAACCCGCTGGCACTCCATCTTCTTGAGGGCCCTGGAGAGCCATCCTCTGGTTTCTCCAAAGGTGGTTGCTGCCTGCTGTATGATGGATGGATGGATGGATGGATGGATGGATGGATGGATAGATGGATAGATGGATAGATGGATAGATGGATAGATGGATGGATGGATAGATAGATAGATAGATAGATAGATAGATAGATAGATAGATAGATGGATAGATAGATNCACATGCTGATTTAAACTTCTCAGATCCCAGGATGGTGTTTCCTGATGCACTCTTCCCGACTCCAGGTCGACCAAACAGCACGATCCTCCTCTGAACAGGCTCCTGGAGACCAGCTGCTAGAATAAAGGAACATACGTCATATGAGAAGAAAAAATATAGACATCCTAGAGGTGTTCATTTGGTACTTTAGGATCAATAATCTCTCATCACTGAGAGGACAGTCCAGTGGATCAAACCAGCAGAACCCAGAGCTCATCTTTGGTCTTAACCCGACTGCTGAAGGCAGACGTCTGCCCTCAATGTTTAAGGGAAGTTTTTTCTTTCCACTGTCACCAAAGTGCTTCTCTAAGGGAACCACTGGGTTTCTTTCAATGATACCATGTCGTCAGATCTGGACGTTACCATGTGACGTCCACTGAGAGGACTTTGATAAACACACATGAATGAAGCTGTTGGTTGTCTTCACTACTCTGGTAAACAGGTAGGTTGGTAAATATTCAGCTATAGAACCGTGTACCTGGTGGGTCCAGTAGTCGGTGGGTCCTGAGGTACCCGGTCTTCTGCAGCAGATCTCGGACTTGTTCCTGACTTCCATCCACGTTGTTGAAGACATGAAACTCTCCTGAAAACATCTTCACTGCATCTACCAGTTTACTACCTTCCTCTGCAAAGATAAAATCTGTCAGTGGCCTGCCCTGGAGTCTATCTCCATGAGTGAAGAGCAGGTAAGTCTTCTCTGATCCCTGATCTCCGAGGACCCTCTTAGCTGTATCTACAACCCTCTGATCCTCCTGGGTGAAGCCCCCAATACTGAGAACCACCAGGAACAGACATGGTCTGTTGGACTGCAGGAGATCCTGACAGTAGGTTCTGATCAGCTCCTCTGACTCTAAGATTCCTGGAGTGTCGACCACTGAGATCTGCTTCCCAAACACTCGTCCTGTTTCTACACTAATCTGTTTTGTCACTGATGTGAAACAGCAGTTTGACTCAAACGCTCTTCGTCCTAAAATGGTGTTTCCTGCAGCACTTTTACCGACTCCTGACTTCCCCAGGAGGACGATGGTGAGATCTGGATCCATGGCTGGGCAGCACAGACCTGATGGAGAGGATAAAGCTCAGTTAGAAACACTCTGGTTCTGTTTCAGGATTCCCTTTGACTGGTGCTGCACACGTCTGTGGAGGAGACTGAAAGTTCTGCCAGCAGACGCTCAGCGATGGATGGAAATAAAACCAACCATCTGCTGTTGTTCACTAACTGAAGCAGAGCTGGAGGTCTTTAGTCAGCAGCAGGACATGCAGAGTCCAAAGACAAACGTCCACTCCAGCAGGCAGGCTGGACCCGAACCCTCCTTTTAATGCAACAGCTTTATCCCTTAAATTAACCTTCAGTAGGAAAGTAAAGGTGTAGCTGAGGGATAACTGTCATGGTTTGGGATCAGATTGAGGGTTTTCCTCCTTAAGCTGCATAAAAGACTTCCTGAAGTTACAGTTCCATCCGTTATTATCTTAATTTCATTGTACTTGAGGCTAAATGAATGGCCTTTGAGCCTCTCAGCGGCAGCAGACTGAGACCTGACTAGCCTGGACGATAACTAGTTTAACACCTGAACTCTGATCTGGTCCTGGACATGTCGGCTGCATGTCTGTCTCACAGTCACACAGGTTCACGTCTAGTCTTCAGGTCCAGTCCTGAACTGTCAGCGTCACTGTTTCAGGACTCAGAGATGAACTGATGAACGTTATTAGATGTGATCAGCAGCTCTTAGTTTAGCTTCATACGTCACTGATCAGTGTCGGGTTCTACTGGACTGACGGGTAACGTCTGGATGCAGGAACGTTACCAGAACGGTACCAGAATGCTACAAGAATGTTAGTAGAACATTACCAGAACATTGGTAGAACGTTAACAGAATGTGAACAGAACATTACCAGAACATTATCAAATCAAATCAAATCAAATTTTATTTATATAGCACTTTTCATGCACTACAGCAATGCAAAGTGCTTTACAGCATTTAAAAACATTACAACATTTAAGAATATTATAAAAGAAAACCCGTCCTTCCCACCCTCCATGCACACACACAAACACACACACACACACACACACACACAGACGCACACACACAAACACACACACACACACACACACACACACACACACTCACCATGAGACTAAAAGGGGCGTGGCATGGCACTGAGGGATTGTGGGAAACGCTACCATTGGGGCCGTCCACACCAGGAGGAGTTGCAGACCATGACTACTGGGGGCGCCGGCGCCCGGACCCCCGACCCGGCAGACAGGGGGGTCCCCACAACGAGGTGGGGAGCCCCCCAACCAGCCGGGTCGAAGGGACCCGCAGACAGAACCCCCAGCAGCAGACTGGACCCAGCGCCAGTGTGGAGGACCCCCCTAAGAAACCACTGGAATTAAAACTAAAAACTTTAAGAATAAAAGGCCTTATGTAAGATAAAATAAAAGTTAAAAGAGTAAATGCACAAGATAAAGATAAATAAATGATAAGAATATAAAAGAATTAAAGTTCAATTAAAAGCCTGATTAAAAAGGTGCGTCTTTAACCTTCTTTTAAAAGTATCGACAGTCTCTGCGGTCCTGAGGTTCTCCAGCAGGCTGGTCCACAGGTGGGGCCGTAGTGGCTCAATGCCGCCTCACCGTGGGTTCTGGTTCTGGCTACTGGTCTGGATAAAAGGCTGTTGCCGGAGGACCTCAGGATCCACGAGGGTTGATATGGTAAAAGCAGGTCAGATAAATAACTGGGCGCGAGGCCTTTAAGACACTTATAAACCAATAAAAGAACCTTAAAATGGATCCTGAAGCGGACGGGG